GGCGAGCATCTCAGCCTGTTTGTCCCTCTCCCACAGCTGGCTGTCTCGAGCCGCAGCCCACCCAGACCCATGGCCTGTTCAGAAGAGCCTGGCTCCTGCCTAAAAGGAGGTCAAATGCTGGGGGCAGCCCCGCTCAGCCCGAGGCTTAGAGTTGCTGGTGCGTGGAGACAAAAAAAAAGAGGACCATCCATCCCCTATTGCCTGACTCCAGGCAGGCACACCACTGCTGGTGTGCACTCAGTGAATCCAGACAACCTACGATGTAGGCGCCGTTATTGTTCTCATTTTCCAGATTGGGAAACAGGCTGGGAAACATTGAGTGACTTGCCCACATCACACAGCTTGTAACAGGCAGAGCCTGGATTCGAACGTAGGTCTGTGCAGCTCTGAGCCCGGAGTTCAGGAGGGCCTCCCCAACCAGCAGCCACCCCCCTGTCCTGAGGCAGACAGGGGTTTTGTCCCACTCCTCAGGGCTCAGTGGTGGGGGGTGACCTTTGGGCCCTGGGGGCTGGGATCTGTGACCTGGGAGCGGGCGGGAGGAGGGGGAGGGAGGGAGGGAGGGCTGCTGGGCTCTCAGGGCTCAGGGCTCCGCGGCTCCCTGTCCGCCTCCTGTTTGCTCTGAAGGAGCTGGCTGCAGTGGGAAGGAGCCTCTGGCTGTGATGGGTTTTTTTTAACCACTTGATCATGTCAAGGATTTAATTTTATCCCCTTCTGTGGCTGGCTCTGATTCTATTTGGAGTTTAAGCACGAGCTAGTGAGCAGGAGGGTCCCTGGAAGGCAGGACTCCCACCCCCAGGTCTGCAAAGCCCCTCCCTGCCTGCCCAGCCCTGATGAGGTCCATCTGGGGGACCCTCCTCAGCTCTGCAGGTTCAGGAAGGCTGGAGGACGGCTCCAATTAAGCCCCTTCCCCCACGCAAAGCAGCTTAGCAGAGGGAGAGGTCCAGGGGTGGGGGCGGGGAGCAGGGGGCAGCTCTTGCTTCACTTCTATCAAGGGATCATCTCAGTTCTTTCATCCTCATCAAAAAAGCATTTAACAAGCACCTGATTGGACCTGGGGTCACGCTCCTCCCCGCCAGGAGCTGCAGACAAGGCCTTGCTCTGAATACCTTATAAGCAGAGGGTGGGGGCGGGCCACACCATCATGGGGACTTAATGATGGCCATATGTGTTGACCACCCACTGTGGGCAGGTCACTCTGTTAAACTTGTCACATGCATTATCTCATTAGTTCTCAGCAACAGCCTTTTGGGATAGATGCTCTTGTTTTTTCCATTTTTCCAATAAGTTGGATAATTTACCCCAAGTCACACAGCTGCGAGGTGGCAGATCCAGACTTGAATCCCACCAGCCAGAGTTCTCGCTGTCTCCTCAGCCCCCAACTACACGGACATAAAGATTTATGCGAGGGGGCCGGCCCCGTGGCCAAGCGGCTAAGTTCGCGGGCTCCGCTTCAGCAGCCCAGGGTTTCACCAGTTTGGATCCTGGGCGTGGACCTAGCACAGCTCTTCAGGCCATGCTGCGGCGGCGTCCCACATAGGACAACCAGAGGCATTTACAACTAGAATATACAACTATGTACTGGGGGGCTTTGGGGAGAAGCAAAACAAAAAACAAAATGAAGATTAGCAACAGATGTTAGCTGAGGTGCCAAGCTTTAAAAAAAAAAATAGAAAGGAATCACTGGTCTTCACATCAAATGAGTCACTGAGGATCTGTCCATTTAAAAAAAAAAAATTCTACTGTGGGAGTAAGCAGTATAAACCAAGTTCAAGAGAGAATAATGTTTGTCCAGGGCTTTACTGGGCTCAAAGCATTTTGGTGTAGAGTTTGTTAAAGGTACAATTGTTTTTATTATTATTCCCATTTTACAAATGAGAAAATTAAGGCTGAGAGCTGCCCCGGGGTACAGAGGTCACATTAGGGAGGCAGGGCTCCAACCTTTGAGGTCCCCAAATTCTGAGCTCCTTGGCTGACCTCACTTGGGGACAAATGTGCTTCGAGGGTGGCCTGCCAGATGCTGGCCATGGGCTGTGAACAGGAAGAGGCAGGGCAAAGTGGAAGAGGAACTTATTCTAGAAAAACCAGCTTAGCCTAGAGGAGAACTGCCAGGTACACACAGGGAAGCATCAGAGTGGGGACAGGCAAGAAGCAGGAGTTATGGTGGCCAGCTTAGGGGAGAAGCTGGGGCGCCATGAGTTGGTGGGAGACTAGCTTCATGCCCAGACTAGGAAGGCAGCAGTTTCATCCTGGAGGTGAGGGCTGGCCCGAGGACCCTGCATGGGGTTACCTCACCTGACAAATGCTTGTTAACGACCTACCGCAGCCAAACAAGGGGCTTGGAGAACAACAGCAAACACCAGACTGGTCCTGGGGTCACAGAGCTGGCGGGGCAAGAGGGTATTGGGTAACCTGGTGAGGCAGGATTTACTCCCACCCCAAGCTGCCCCTGTCAAAGCTGGAAGCAGTGGCTACAAGCATGGAGTCTGGTGTCAGACAACCTGGGGCTGTGCCACGCTGACCTTTAGCAACCTATGTAACCCCCATTTCGTCATCTATAAAATGGGGATAATGACAGACGTACCTCACACAGGACTGAAGATGGTGTGTATACAGTGCTGAGCACCTGCACACAGGTAGAACCCAACACACAGTTGCTGTGTTACTAAGACTGGGACAAGAGAGACACCTGCATAAAAGATGTTTGTGAAAGCCTACCTCCTTCCAGGCCAAGGCCAAGGGCCAGGAGGCGGAAACCCTCAGAGGCTCTGGGTCTGAAGTCACCTCCTGGGGCTGTGCAGGTAGGGTGGGGCTCCCACAGGTGTGTAAACAGGGCAGCCACCTGTCACACACTCTGTTCCTTCCCTGGAACTCAGGGAGAGGCCCCTGCAGGTGGGCGGGCGGGCGGGCAGGGCTCCACTCGGCTCGGCTAACAGCTCTCTGGGCCCTCCCTTGGGCCCACCGGAACATCCGTGAGGGGCAGCTCCAACGTCAAGGAGAAAAGTGAAGGAAAGGCACGGGCTGATATTCAAAAAGTATTTCACTGCCCTTGTCCTTTGAGGACTTTCTTTAAATTAGGACTAGCAGCCATGGTCCCCAAGCCCCGCAAATCTCCTAAACACTCAGTCGTTGCCCAGAAGAGAGAGTTCCTTCACTGGACAGAGAAGAGTTTTCTAAACATGGCTTCAGGTTAGTCTGGGCCTATTTCATCCTTGGGGAAAGGGGTGGGTGACCATGAGCAACAGAGAGAGAGAGAGAGAGAGGGCCTGCCCACAAAGGCGGGGCAGGTGGGTAGTGGTGGGGTCCCTTGGGGCCCACCGAGTCCTCTGCTCCGGAAGCTGGCTCCTGTGTCCATCTCATCCCCTGCCCCCGCTCCCGGCACTGAACCAGGTGCCTTGGAGGGATTGTTTTCCCTGCCACAAAGGGGCCTGTTCAAAGGCTGAGCAGCCTGGATTCTCACAGCTGCTATTCACCTGCAGGGAGAAGAAGCGCTTCATTCATTCTCAACCACCCTCCCCCCAGGGCTGGGAAACACCAACAAAAGGCAAGGTGCCCGCCTCCCCCAGGCTCAGCCAGGCTCCCAGCTGTCTCTGGCCTCAGCAGTTCAGTGTGGGGGGTCATTATGGGCCACCCGTACCTGGGAAGGTGGACCGAGAAAGTTGCCTACTGTGTGGGCTGAGGGACCCTGAAACCCAGCGCTGCCCCCAGTGTCTTCCCTTCGCCTGCTTACATGACCGATTCACCTCTCTTGAGTGGCCTAATCCCCATTAGAGACCCGAGCTAGCTCTGGGAGGACTTCTCCTCCCAGCTCGGTCCAGGTTCTGTGTTGGGGGCTGGGCAGGTGGGACCAGGGCCAGCCAGCCCCTCCCTCTGCTCAATGGCCCAGTTTAGAAGAGCCGATTAACTCCAAGGTTAGCCACCAACAGTGTCACTCAGAACACTGGGAGGGGGTGGGGAAATTCTAGACATAATTTACCTGATATGGGCCCTTGATATGTGTCTCTGTTTAATTTTTAGCTAACAAGGCTTTCTTTTTTTGTCTTTCTCTCAATAACTATAAACTCCTTCCTAGAAAAGGAAGTTACAGAGAAAGGCAGGCCAGTTCAATATAAGAATTAACATAAATTACCTGAAGATGGAATAGGCTATCTTGTGAGGTAGTGAGTTCCCCAGTCCTTGAGAGTATTCAAGCAAAAGCCAGACAAGTCCTTTTCAGAGGTGTTTCTAAAGGGACTCACACATCCGGCCACTGCACGGGCTGCTAGACCACCTCCAACTCTCTTCCAACATTGATTTAATGATGTTGATTGTGCCGTCTGTCCTCATATTCTAGAAACCCCATAGCCTTTAGCACCCAGTGAAACGCTTTGAAAAGGAAACAGAAGCAGTGAGTCCATGTAAGCAGCAAAAAAAATAAATAAATAAATAAATGAAGACCTAAAATGGGATGATGAAGGGGAGAAATGAAAAATTCTAGAAAATGCTTCCAAAGCAAAAATTCCTAAAGCAGAAATAATTTCAGCTTCCAAACGTGAATATACAGCTGAATACCAATCAATCTTTCATTTCTGGGATGATGGAAGGACTTTTGTTACGACCATTCTCAGCCTGCTGCCATCACACAGGATGTCGGGGAGTCTAGGATGAAAGGGTCCCCACACCCTTATGGGTACTGAGTGTCTGCTCAGGAGCATGGACGGGTGAGGTGACCTCTGAAGATTACGGACCTCAGTCCAATCTGGGCTGACATTTGGAATCTCTGGGTCACAAAGGGCCTCAGCCTTCCTCCGGACCTGTCAGCTGGGCTGGGGAGATCTGGAAATTCTTCCAAACTCCGAGCTCCACTCTACATCACAGGCAATTAAACTAGCGAACCCGGGGTTTTCGTGCCTCCTTGCAGCGTCTCCTTGGGCAGGAAGGGCCCCGGCAGCAGAGCCCATGAGCCGTGGGGAAATCAGAGAATGAACCCAACTCCATGGGAGATAACTCAGCTCACGCACCAAGCTATTAAAAATCTTTATTGTTAATTTTTTCTCCAACAGATATATTTTTAGTTGAAATATGAAGCCACAGCAACACTTTCACTTTTCTCCTTCAGAAGATGAGACAGATCAGGCCCATCACTGTTACAAGAGGAAGGCCCATGACCTTGATAAGGACAGGCTGGGGCAGAGAACACAGCAAAGGCCAGGACGTGGACCCTTTATGGGAGCTACAGGTACAAAGGGAGGGGGCAGCCGGCTGAGGCCTGATAACAGATGTTACAGCCTGGGCCCAGAGGAGACTGAAAAAACTCACCTTTCCCCAGGGGCTCAGCTGGAGCTGCAGGCCACTGAGTGGGAGTGAGCGTGCAGGTGTGTGTGTGTGTGTGTGCACGTGCTCACATATGCATGTGTACACATGCACTGCTCCCCCGAAGGAAGATGCTCTCAGGCCCCTGCTGGGGTACCCACAGTCTTTGTCCCCTGGGGATCAGTGGCCTCTGCAGGCTAACAGTCAGCTAACCAGGGCCAGAGGCCTGTGTACGTGGAGGAGGACACGGGTGTGTAGGCCATGACATTCGAGTCCTCCTTTTGGGGCAAGGCTCAGACAATGATCAGAGCACAGCGTGAACTGCCCAATGACCATGGGGCTCTCCAGGGCTCGGGCCCAGGACACGTTGGTGTTCAGCTCCTGCGCTCCATAACAGCCCTGAGAAGGGGAAATGCGGCTCCAAGAGTCTTCTCCTGACTTTGGGTACCGGAGGCAAGAAGGGGGCCTCAGCCATCTACTTCCTCAGGGGGAGGGGAGAGGCCTGCATCTTTCTCCAACTCCCCACCCAGATTCCACTTCTGTGAGAGATGCAGGGAGAAGGGTGGGCTGCCTCCAGGGGAAGGAAGGGGGCAGGTGGAAGACTTGGGGTTCCTGAAGCCCTTCAAAGACCACTGCACTGCAATGTGTTTCCGGGGGCCAGGGTAAGGGCCAGCCTGATGGGACTCGCTCAGTGAAGGCCCAGCCAGTGGTCCCAGTGGGCACTGCATAAATAATGACGCTGTCCCTTCCAGGCTGACATGGAGAGAGATCCTTCTGAAGGCAGTGCAGTGAGGGGCACGGGCCTTGGATGAGAGAACGCCGAGTGCTGCCTGGAGCTACTGCCCCAGCGGCAGATACCCCAGGGCGGGGCCTGGCTGAGGGAGGCCAGGTGTGGATGTTTGGAGCCAAAGGCCTCCCAGGCCTTGTAAGCCAAGCCAAGGCCTTTGTGAGGGTTCCAGCCTCCCAGGCAGAGACTTCTGCTGCATTGTGGGGTCTCACAGCTAGGAGCAACTCCTGCCCTTTACAGGAGGAGCCCCCAGATGAGGCCTCAGGAAGCAGGATAGGGAGGGAAGCTAGCTGGCCGCCAGCTCATGGAAGCAATGCACATAAATCCTGCCTAATGGTCACCTCTAAGCTCTGGGCCACTCTTCAGGACAGCGCAAACCTCCTTGGGGCCCTGTTTTCCAGCTGTGTACCCTGCTTAGAGTCCTCGAGGCCCCCTTGCTGGTGGAGCCAGGTGTGGTCATTAAAGCGAATGCGCTCTCCAGGGGGACCCCCAGGCTGGAGAGGGACTGCACGCAGGGCGGGGGGAAGCCCACGGCAACGGGAGGCATGGGTGAGCCAATGGGAAACCAAATTCACGTACTGAAAGCCAATCCAATGAAACACAAACCAAAGGCGTGAAAGCAGCAGCAAGCTCTGTGTGCAATAAATACTGCAGAGCACACTTGGTTTCTTTCTTTTTTTTTTTTCAAGTCAAACATAACAACCAATGTCCCAAACCCTGTTTTCAGCATTTGAAAGAGAGAAGCTGTTGCTATCAGCAGAACACCTGCAGCCAATCAAAGAATAAACCGTTTCCCATTAGCCAGCCAATCAAAATCCTTTTCCAGTTTAAGTAGCCAATCAGCCCTCTTCACATTTCTAAAAAGTGACCTAAATAAAGCACCAGAGCTCGGAGAGCTTCCTGGGAAGCCATATACCGAGGCGCAAATTTTTTAAAAAGTAAGAGTCAGAAATAAAAATAAAAGGTTTCCATTGGTCAAGGTTTAAAAATAAAAGGTTTCTTCCTCCAGCCAATTGTGAGTCCATCCCTTTAAGCCAATCGTAGCTGCACCACTGGTGTCTCCTGCGATGCCAGCCCCGCCGAGTGGCCTGGGGTGGGGTGGGGTGGGGTGGGGTGGGAAGGTGATCTGCTGCCACTCAGCCGGCCGAGGTCCACACAGATCTCTGGCCCTTGCCAGCTTCCAGGCTGTTCCAAGGGGTTCGCAGCTACTGCCTCCGGTCCTCCGTCTCTGACCTGGAAAACGCCATCACCACATCCTCTGCACCTGCAGACCAGGGGAAAAGAATTGTTGGATGGGCCTCTGGCACTGGGCTGCAATCTGGCACAAGGCAAGGAGGCTGCGGCCCCCAGCTGCAGCGTCAGCCTGCCGTAGCGTGGTGCTTTCTGAGTGCAAAGTGCTTCAAGGAAGCCCACCTCCCCTTGGGGCCTTCCCGCAGCCTGGTCAGGGGACAGACCAGCAAGCCTGTTGCAGGGTTGCGGGCTGCACGGGTGAGGCTGGGAGGCTTGCTCAAGGCTACACAGCTAAGCAGTGAGCATGGCAAGAACACAGGGCTGTCGGTCCCAGAGCAGGGCTCTGCTCACAGCCCTGTTCCAAGGTCACCAAAGCCAGGGCCCTTGGGAACCTCTCTCTCTTAAGACTCTTGTCTTGATCCCTTTGGAGGATCTTGCTCATTATGATTTCCAATAGCCATTCCTCTCTGCCTAAACCCTGCTCAAAGGAGCTTGGCGAGGCCCATTTCCAGCCTGCAGTTGGCCTGGCTGCTACGGAGACAGATAATGGCCATAATCTTTATTATTGTTATTTTTAATCGTGGATTTGAGATTCTGGTCCAGGCACTCATGAAATCACTTCCTTTGTCTTGTTTTCCATAAGACAGGCTCTGACATGCAGCCAGAAAAGGCAGGAGGGAGGAGGGAAAGAGCTCGAAATACTGACCTGCCTCCGCCCCCAGCTGCCGGGAGGGAAGGCGCTGACTGAGCCGCAGACCCTGCAGGGCAGGCGAGGTGACCACGGTCCTGCTCTGCCTCCCCAGCCTTGGCCCGCCCTCGCTCCTGCCGCTCTTTCCCCTTTTTCTAAAGGACGGTTCTTGGTTGCGCCCTGAACAACAGTCGGCTGCCCACGGCCTTTCTGACATACTTCTCTTCTGTGCGTCTGGAGGAATTCTCCCCAGGAGGGGAGGATTGGAACAGCAGACACAGGAAAGGCCAACAAAGGGTGGGCTGGTGTGGGTGGTGCGTGGTGGAGCTTCTGGCATGTGACATGGAGCTGGGGAGAGGGCAGGATTCTGCCTCCTCAGGCATGGTGTTGGCCATCTTCATCCACACCATGGGGGAGTCGCCCCCTCACAGTGGCAGCCTCCTACCAACCTCCTTCCTAACTGCCCTGCCTCATGGAGGAGCGGAGGAGGCTCCCAGCCACGGGTGCTGCCAGAGGGCCCATCCACAAGGATGTAACATTACAGAGACGTGTCTTCAATTTGGTACCAGGGCTCCAAGGTGCTGCCAATGTAACTAACCCTGCATCTGCCTTGATGGGGTTCTGCTGTTACCAGCACAACCTCTATTCCTGAAAAGGAGAATAAGCCTCTGGAAGGGAGCTCAAATCGTCTGACTTCTTGGAATGGGGCTCCTTTGCTTGGGAAGCCTTACAAATCCTTCCTCTGTCTTCTCAGGAACATTCTGTTCTCTCGCCTCAGTCCTAGGACCACGCAATATCACTGCAGGCAGAATTTTCCTAGCAACCACAGAATCCAAGATTACCTCATACCCTGCATGGCAGCTGAGCTGGTTACCTAACAGATGCCGGCTTTTCCCAAGTGCGCCTCCCAGCTTGCTAATCAGGAGGGGCCTGGCAGGAGATGGTGAAAGGGGGGTTGTCAGCCAAAGAAGCCTCGGCTGCAATGAACAGTGGCAGCCCACTCACTTCTTTCCTTGCCTGCCTCGTGGGCTTTCTCACAGGGACCTTGGGCCTCTGTGCTGAGCTGCAGGCACAAAAATAGCACAGGCTGCCCCAGGAGGGAATGGTGAGTCTGCAGAGGAACAGCCATTGGCTCCTTGGAGGAGCCCAGACCCAGGGGCTCAGGCTCCCGGTGCTGCAGCCTGTCCGGAACCTGGACTACACCCTGACAGCTGCGGAAGGAAGTAACCTCCTCAAGGTCACACAGAGACTCTGATATCTATTTAACAAGACACCTGAAGCAGAGGATTTGTCAGAGTCCCACCCGTGCCACACTGCCATCTGGTAGCCCCATCCCTGGCTGGGGTGGGGAAGGCTGGGGATTCGCGGCTCCTGTTTATAGAGCCTCCCACTCTGCTGCTGGAGCAGTGTGGCAAGGGCCCACAGAGCTGCCGCCCATCCTGGGCCCTGTTCTCTTCCTAAAGGACTTGCTATTTTCCAGGCCTCACCACAGAGACCTGCTTTCCTTCAGGGCTCAAGAGGGGGCAGGCTCTTCTAGAGCATTCTCTGACTTATCTTTTCATTGTCTGGCCTGGGACTCATCACTCAACAAGGGTCTGACCATGAACCTGGCAGGCCTCCGGGCAAGGACTCTGCTTTCCCCTCGCCTCTTCTCCATGAAATTTGGGCCAGTAGCTTACAGAGAGGGTTAGCTGCTCAGTTAGTTATCATGATTTGAGCTTTTAGAGCTTTAGATACAGGAGGGACCTTGGAGGTTGGTCCCCATGGTCTTGCCTTCTTAAAAGGCCAGAATGTGGTGACTACCATGCGTGCTCTCACTGTCCAGGAATCACAGGGGTCAGAACAGGAAGTCACTGCAGAGAAGCCAGCAGGCCCAGCCCACTGCCTCCAGGCCATTAGTTAGGTTTCCTATCCCATTTTACAGATGAGGAATGTCCACCCCACTGGTACCTCTGCTGACACTATCTGGACTTGCGCTCAGGGCTTCTGTTCATCCTTTTTCACCAGATGCAGGTGAGCACAGGAGGGGAGAAGATGGTCAGTCTCTCCTGTTTCACACTCTTTGATACATAAAAGATAAAGACGGCCAAAACCAGATGAATATATCACAAGAAAAGAGAACTGCAGACCTGTATCTCTTATGAATACAGATATTCATAATATCTATGACATGCAAAAATACTCAACAAGATACTAGCAAACTGAATACAGCAACATATAAAAAGGATTGTATACTCTAAGTGAGATTTGCCCAGGAATGCAAGGTTGGTTTAACATCCAAAAATCAATTAATGTAATATATCATATCAATAGAAAAAAGAACAAAAACCATATAATTATCTGAACAGACAGAGAAAACACACCTGACAAAATTCAACACACCTTCATGATAAAAATACTCAACATACTAGGAACAGAAGGGAACTGCTTTAGTCTGATAAAGGGCATTTACCAAAAACTCACAGCTACTATCATACTTAATTGTGAAGATGGAAAGTTCTCTCCCTTCAAGATTAGGAACAAGAAAAAGATATCCACTCTCACAATTTCTATTCAATATTGTGTTGAAAGTTCTATCCAGGGCAATTAGGCAATAAATAGAAATAAAAGGCATCCAGATTGGAAAGGAAGAAGTAAAACTACGGGCATACCTCGGAGATATTGCGAGTTTGGTTCCAGACACTTCAATAAATCAAATATCGCAATAAAGTGAATGTCGCAATAAAGCGAGTCACACAAATTTTTTGGTTTCCCAGTGCATATAAAAGTTCTGTTTATACTATACAGTAGTCTGTCAAGTGTGCAATACCATTATGTTTAAAAAAACAATGTACATATCAATTAAAAAATTAAGTGAGCAAATGCTGTTGGAAAAATGGTGCCAATAGACTTGCTCAATGCAGGGTTGCCACAAACCTTCAATTTGTAAAAAATACAATATCTGCAAGGTGTGATAAAGTGAAGTGCAAAAAAATAAGGTACGCCTATATATTGGTCGACAACATGGATCTTAGAAAATATAGAAAATCCTAAGGAATCCACTAAAAAACTATTACAACTAATAAGTTAAAGTTGTAGGGTACAAGATCAATATACAAAAATTATTTGTATTTCTATACACTAGCAATGAACAATCTGAAAATGAAATTAAGAAAACAATTTCATCTACAATAGCATAAAAAATAAAATCTTAGGAATAAATTTAACAAATGAAGTACAAAATTTATACTCTAAAAGTACAAAACATCATTGAAAGAAATTAAACACAATCTCTACCAAAATCCCAGCTGCCTTTTTTGCAGAAATTGACAAGTTGCTCTTAAAACTTGAAACACAAAGGATCCAGAAAACCACAATAATCCTGAGAAAGAAGAATAAAGTTGGACTCACACTTTTGGATTTCAAAACTTATTACAAAGCTACAGTAAACAAGACTGGGTAGAACTGGTATAAGGATAGACATGCAGATCAATGGAACAGAATTGAGATTCAGAGATAAACCCTCCCATTTACGGTCAATTAAATTTTGACAAGGGTGCCAAGACAACTCAATGGAAAAGAATTGGACAAATGGTGCAGGGACAACTGGAAATTCACAGGTAAAGGATGAAGTTGGACCCCTACCTTGCACCATATATCAAAATTAACTCAAAATGGACTAATGACCTAAATATAAGAGCTAAGCTATAAAACTCTTAGAAGAAAACAGGAGTAAATCTTCATGACCTCGGTGTTAAGAAATGATTTCTTATATGTGACGGCTAAAGTACAAGCAACAAAAACAACAAAATAGGTAAATTGGGCTTTATGAAAGTTAAAAACTTTTATGCCTCAAAGGATACTATCAAAGAAGTGAATTGTGAAGGCCCACTGGGCTGTTTCTGCCCACTGCTCTGAATGTCAAAGTACAGAAATTCAGTGGAGCACGGGCAAATGGCGGGAGTAACTATGACTCTCTCGAGGTAGCCAAATGCCTCGTCATCTAAGTAGTGATGCGCATGAATGGATGAACACGATTCCCACTGTCCCTACCTACTATCCAGCAAAACCACAGCCAAGGAGGAAAAAAAACAGTCAAAAAGTAGCCCACAGAATGGGAGAAAGTATTTGCAGGTCATATGTCTGGTATCTGGAATATATAAGTAACACAACTCAATAATAATAAAATGTCAAACAATCCAATTTTTTTTTTTTTTTTAGATTTTTTTTTAAAATTTTTTTTCCTTTTTCTCCCCAACGCCCCCCGGTACATAGTTGTGTATTCTTCGTTGTGGGTTCTTCTAGTTGTGGCATGTGGGACGCTGCCTCAGCGTGGTCTGAGCATCGGATGAGCTCAGTGCCATGTC